CTTCCTCTTGGGTGCTTAAATCTTCCGAAGAAGAATAACCATGAGAGGGGCCAGCTTCACTGAGCTCCTCTTCAGATAACCCCACTGATCTGGGATGTGCCTGGTCAGGCCCTGTTGCAGCAGGTGCTGGCCCTGCCCCGGGGTTAGGTTTAAAGCCTTCTAAAACTGATCTGAAGGTAGAAGCTAACTCCTCTTTAATTGTTGTTAAAATATTACCACAGGCTGAGGAACCCTTTTCCTTAAAGAGGCCGTCAATACACTTCCGACATAAGGCCTTTGCATAGGTAGAACCCAGCTTGCAACTGCAAACTGCACATTTCTTTTTAATTGCCACCTTGGCCTTATCTGAAGTCCTAGCCTGAAAAACATAAACAAGAAGGGCTAAGCTCCAATCCCAATATCAGCAAAATAGAAGTGCCCCTCAACACAAAAAGGCCCTGCCCAAGGAACCCCAGATGGAGATAGGAAAACAGTCAGAGGAACCAGGGTGGTGACTGTAAAATAATCACCCATACCTGTGCCGGGCTGGTGCCTGAAGGAACTGCATCTGCTGCTGTAGAGGCCACAGTAGATTCCATCCTTTCGGAGTTTCAAATAAAACTGCCAGTGCTGTCTCAGTCACTACTGAGAATGAAGCACTTTAACACCAGCCAAGGCCCTCCCCTTCCCCAAACCAAAAATGAGGCTTGGAACACAGAGCCTCGGCACCCGGAAGTGACGTCACTCGCGCCGGAAGCGACGTACGTGGCCACCCGGGCCGGCCGCGGAGAATTCTCCCGGAGCCATGGAGACAAGACGAGCCCCTCTGACCGGTGGACATCCTCTTCCCACGACTCAGCCAAGGAGCGGCGCCACTCCGGTCCTGGCCCTCGCCGGGCACTGATGGGGATAAAAAAGCCAGCATACCCCCTGCCTTGCTAGAGGGACTAGCTGGAGGCCCAAGGTAAGCTTGCTACCTACTACAAAGAGAACCCCCCTGGCATCTGCCATATGGAGGCTCCCCACATTCCGTGACGCGCATCCACAGGTTGCCTGAGGAAACACAAAGACTGATGTGCTGGTTAGAAGGTGGGCCTTTTAAAAGGTTGAGGGTGACGTGTTTCCTGTGGGATCGGGAGGAGCCTCCATATCTCAAGATGCTGTCCTGGAAGACGTTAGTGGGAAACCGACCTTTTAGACCTTGAAGACTTAGCATGTGAGAACTATTGCATGCTTAGTCAAACGGCCTGCTTCATGAAGGAATGCACATCCCTGGCCCCCGCTTCTTTATCCTGAGCCACCTCTTTAAGTCAACTGCCACAGACCAATTTATAATGCAATGCATTAGGGCCACATTCTCAGCAGACCTCCACACTAGATGGCACAAAAGAGGGTCCCTGTCACATAGAACTTTCTCACCAGGAACCATGTTTGCACCTTTTAGAGATGAGTACTTGCTCGTATGGGGTATTGAATTATAGTGCACAGCAACTTCTTTTTCCACAGACAAAGATTCTTGCTGTGGGCTCTTTCCCTAAAACATTATAACACCAGATTAAAAAACATGCTCTCTTTTACTAAATTCAGAAGAAAAAAAAAAGCGACACCAAAATTTATCCTTTAACCTCTTGCCGTCCGCCCGTTGTAAAAAAACGGATGGACGGCACTGCAGCATTGGCGGGTTGCCGTCTCCAGACGGAATTTTTTTTCTGCACGATTCAGTCCCTGTATAGAGGAAGAAACAAAAACAAAGAGCGCCTCCATCGCGTAAAAACGTTTTAATGAGACAGATTTAAACATAGCTATATAAACATAGCTATGAAGATAGCTATAAACATAGCTATAAAGATAATTTATAATATGACTTCTGCTTAAGCGGGAAAATGTATTTCGAATCCCAGTGACCCCAGGTGTTTCTTAATGGTAAGCCTGAGCTGAGTCGCGCTTTAAAAAGGGAGTCAACAGAACACTCCCTATTGGTTCTGACGAAGGAGGCGTGGCCTCAGAAACGTTAACCTCAGGGAGGAAGAGTAGCCGGTGGGCTAAGCTTTTCACGATTTTACCTATTCCTGCCTGTAAAAATTCCACTTTTGTGAGTATGTTTTTATCTGTTTAAATCTGTCTCATTAAAACGTTTTTACGCGATGGAGGCGCTCTTTGTTTTTGTTTCTTCCAGAGTTGAGGCTTTTCCAAAGCCTGTCTTAGAGCCTGCCCCATCTGCGGTTCACTTTGAGACCATTTCAGATATTCTCCGTGTTTGGATACAAGCCGCTGGCGCTTTCTTATATAGTGTTTGCCTGTATAGAGGAGCTTACACTCTATTGTCCCCCCACAGTCACACACTATTATTAAACATTTATATAGCTCTGACCTATACCGCAGTGCTGTACAGAAAACACTGAGCCAGTCACATCAGTCTCTGTACAGAGGATCTCACTCTAATGCAGAATGGCACCAGCTGTAGGGGGAATACAAATCCCAGCAATACATTTATACAGCAATGCAGAACATTATATGAATTTGACTCAGGACTTAAAAACGTGCTGGACTCTGGACTTAGTAACGCGCTGGACTCTGGGCTTAGTGACCCACTGGACTCTGGGCTTAGTGATGTGCTGGACGCAGAGCTTAGTGAAGCGCTGGACGCAGGGCTTAGTGACACGCTGGATGCAGGACCCACCTGAGACCCCACACATACCTAAGAGTGACCCTGCAGAGCCCACCATAGATGCTGCATAGCCCATCTGATACTCTCTATGGTGGGCTCTGCACGGGTCTCAGGTGGGCTGTCAAGGCTGCATCTACCTCCCTCCCAGCTCCTCTTATCTGCTCCTGGTGCCTGCACACCTGGCCTCCTCTGCCGCCGGACTGGCCGGCCCAATATCAGAAGAGCAGCAGGGCCGATTGGGCCCCAGCGTGCTCCGATGCCGCTGGATCGGCAATGCTGGGGCCCGGCGCAGCTAGGGCCAGGCCGCCTGCTCGCCTCTCACTGTCAGCCGATACTCCTGTAAGGGTCCCGGGCGGGCCCCCTAGGCTGCCTGGGCCCCTTACATGAGTATCAGACGTACCCCCCTGATGGCGTCCCTGGTAGAGGCACCCCTGCCCACCCCCTTGAAAAAATCGATTGTTCGCCTTGGCCAAGGGTATAAGCTTGGAAATAGTGGAGCCAGGCCACTCCCCGTAGACACGATGAGCTTCACTAATTGCATCCAAATAATAGAACAGAGCAGAGCAATGCTCCGGAGTCTTCTCACCAGTCACACATATTTGCAAAGGCTTGCAGCCAATTCACAAAAACACCGATGCTTCTTCTTGTGTTCCTTTTTACTCTCCTCTAGTTTCACCCTGTCTAAATTTTCGAAGGGGAGGAGCACAAAAACTTCCACATATTCACCATTCCACATTTTTTGCTTACTTTCGGCTTAAGGTGAGCCCTCAGTGGGCCCTCAAAGCAAAAATACCACTCACCACATCTTGCGGGAATCCATTAGGCAAATCTTATCAGCATACCTTTTCACCTTCTTCACCACCCCTTGTCTTTCTGTACCTGCTGATGTTAGGCCTGCAGACGCAGCCACAATAGCGCACTCCTGAAGTGCCCGAAGGTCTGGCCTGCCCACTGGTAATGTCACTCCTCCACCATCTCCTTGAAGTCCCAGACCTGTCAGCTATGCCACTTGAGCTCTGCTTACTGGGTGCTCACCCACCAGCAGAGGCAATGGTTCAGAGTCCTTAGTCGTGGCCATGGACAGCCTCTGGACCTGCACAGGGGACGGCCACTGGACCATTTCTCTTGATGGTTAAGCAACATTAGCAGAAGGTCAAGTTCGTCTGCCATGTGTTAACTTCAAACTGAAGATGCAACTCTTTGTCTCCTCAACCCATATCTGAAACCCCTGCTCAGCCACCTATCCTCAACCAATCAGTTAAGTGTCTTCCTTGATAACCTTTAACACCTTTGTCTCCCCTGTTCACTCTGCCATGTAGGTCATGTGCCTATTCTTTCCTTTAGTTTTGCTCCTGGCCTCTGTGAAGCTGGCAATAAGATGGAAAATACTGTATCAACAGAATTTTTAATATACATTATTACTCCATATTGAAAATAATTACACTGTGGCCTGGTTACATTGTGTCAGGGTTCCACCCTGACTTTACTGGTTTGCAGCATTCTGGCTTGGCTGCTATTTTACTCACCTGTTTCCTTCCTTGCTCAAGCAGACTCTAGAACATTGCTCACTACTCTCAGGCTCCCTCTTATGGCCCGATATGAGAGCATCATCTGAGTGAGTCAGATGGGAGTTTCCTGTCTCTGAGTGAAGACGTCACGCCACTCACCAAAGTGAGTGGTCAAAAGGAAAATTATCCTTAAAGGACAAATTCAGTAAAATGCTTTCTATGCCTTCCTTTTCTTTTAAGACCAAAAGGTCACTATGTAATATATATATACATATATATATATATATATATACACACCACTCAGTCCAGTCTGACCTTGCGTGGTCTTCCTGCTGGTGCTTGCTTTCCTGCTGCTCTAGTATCCTGATTCCATGTATGACCCGATCCTGGCTGACGTCTTCCTCTGGCTCCTGCTCCTGGCTTGTTCCTGAAAATGCTGATTTCCTGGCTTGTTCCCGAAAATACTGATTTCCTGGCTCCTGGCTTGTTCCTGATGACGCTGATCTCTGTGTTCCTGACCTGGCTTGGACGACTACCTACTCCGGCTCCTGACTCTGGCTTGTTCCGGTTTAAGACTCTGCTTGCTCCTGTGGACACTGTTCTTAATAAATATTTTAACTAGCACCGTTGCTTGTCTGATTTTCATTATGCTCTGACACTGTCTGAGAATTTCCCTTGTTCTGCTTCTTTTTTTGTTTGTGCAGTTTCTATAGAATATGTGGTGTTCTTTTTCAGATATAAATATCAGTTGCTTTTGTATACCGAAATACAAAGATCTTAGCAGGTAAAGATCAGGTTAATGGGAGGAGTTAAAACAGAATAAAAAGAGGAAACAGGAGGAGGGAAAGAGACAGCAGGAGAAGGCTTGCGATGGTAATAACAAAACCATCTGTTGTGTAATTCTTTTCAAGAAGGAACTTGCTATCTGTAAGTGTTAAGAGAAAGGCAACTTTGTATATATAATGTTACTGTGTGCTTTCTCAAATATTTGTCTTTAGCTGTCTAAAAATGTTAAATCTTTTCAATCATGTTAACAGTAATGTTTGTGCCTGCTTAGGGAGTGTCTGCCTTTAGCAGAGGGTTCTGTTATTTGTGCTGAATACTCAGTGACTCAGCTCTGTAAATGCGCATCTTCAAACATAAATCCTTCCTGACATTTTGCACATTCAAAGGAGTTTCTAGATTTAGTAAGAACATGAAAGAGTTCCTAACATGCTGGTTGATGCCGACTGATGAAGAATATTTCCTTACAATTTCCTATTTTGATAGATCCAAAGCAACTTGATATATTTTGGTGACATGCAGCTTCTTTATGGACTCTCAAAAATTTGAATAAATTTCCAAGTTTGAGTGTCTTATTACAAGAAGGGCTAAGCAGTGTTTTAGACTCCAGGGATGCTATATTTTGTATGAAGGTATGCATGTAGTCTGACCATTGAACATGGCTTTGAACATTTGCTTTGAGATAATTAGGGGGTTGAAAATGTCATTGAATTCTGGACTATACAAAGTGTTTTTTTGGTATAATGCTATAAATATTGTATATTTTAGTCTACTTGGAGTAACTGCATATTAATGAGAAGTGGTGTAGACTATAACTTTTTTTTTTACATTTCTTCCGCTTTCTTTTTCTGACCACAAATAGCTTATGTCAGTGTACAAGGGAAGTGGGGGTGGGGGTTAGAGAGGAGTTGTTTAAAACAGTCAGTACTTTAGTACCTTGTATCTAGGGGAGAGCAGCCATTATCAGGACAGGCTTTTTTAACCCACCTAAAAATGTTATTACCTCTAAAAGCTGTAAGAAAATAGTAACTTGCTTGCCACCCTAGAGAATGTCACCTCACCCAGCACTATCTCATATCTGATTGCTTAAAGGGGGAGGAGTAAAAGCGACATAATTTATATCAATTTTACCATTTGTACAACATGAATTGTTAGTTCATTCATTCAATATAGCCCTGACATGTTTCGCCCTATTGGGCTTCTTCAAGGGGACAGGAACTGTATATCATGAGACGATCCAGTCAGGTGCACACCAATGTAGAGCAATAGATCACAGGTAATTGGTTATGTTCACCCTTATTTCAAAGAAGCGGGAGTCGTGTCAGGAGAGCAATATGCAGCACCCAATCAAAAAGGACACACAAGCCGGCCACAGCCGATTAGTTGGAGAATACGTAGCTTGTCCTCCCCAGTGCCGCACTGGGGAGGACTGCTCTGGAGGTGGAATACACAAGCTACGTATTTTCCAACCAATCAGCTGTGGCCGGCTTGTGTGTCCTTTTTGATTGGGTGCTGCATATTGCTCTCCTGGCACAACTCCCGTGCCTGATCGCATTTCCGCTTCTTTGAAATAAGGGTGAACATAACAACCAATTTACCTGTGATCTATTGCTCTACATTGGTGTGCACCTGACTGGATCGTCTCATGATATACAGTTCCTGTCCCCTTGAAGAAGCCCAATAGGGCGAAACATGTCGGGACTATATTGAATTCATTAACAGGGGCTATTTTGAATGAACTAACAAATCATGTTGTACAAATAATCATGTGATGTCAATATTGTATATGCAATAATTATATTATGAAATGATCGTGTTTTATAAAATGGAATTTTAACTATTTAAAAATCATGCTATTAATAAATCAATTTTTAATTTGTATACCTTAATAGGAGAGCGTTAAGTATTTTTTGAAAGCCCCTCCCCCTAGGGTCTTGGCATACCCCTAGGTGGAACTCACTTATTTCAATAGTTATCATGCAATTAGACATTCTGTCATTATTAGCATTGTTGTGCTGCCATTTCATGAATAATCACCCTAGAATTTATTCTTGGTGCTGCTGGTTTAAAAGGGAACTATGGGGTAAGTGTTTTTCCCCATAGTTCTCTTTAGGGTCACAAGAGAACATACACTAACCTCCTCCTGTGATCCAAAGCTCAGTATATAGCGGGCTATTGCCTGCAATTTACTTGGAAAGCCACAGCTGGGACGGATGCCGATAACACTGTCGAGATTGACCCAGCTGTGTGAGTGACAGCTGGCTCTGCTTATCTAGAGGCAGAGCCAGCTATGCCCACCCCCTCGCCGTTCGTTCCTCCACTCAGCGCTGGAGGATCGGAGAGGGGAAGGGGGAATCCCTGAAGGGAATGGTGACTGACAGTCACTGCTCACTGCAGGGAGACGATCGGGAAGTGAGCAGATCGGCTGCATGTTTCTGCTCACTTCCAGAAAAAATAGAGCCGACCTGTGACAGCTTCTTTGTCACAGGTCAGCTCTAACGATAAGGATGAGTTGAAATCACTCACCTCATAGTTCTCCTTTTAACTGCTGTAGGCTGTCCTAAGATTTTATTGAGGTCAAATTCTGCACCAGGAAGTCCAATGCGGTGCAGTTACACATGTTGCATTAAGGTAGTCCATTCATTTAATTGGGCTGTTTATTGCACCACAACATACCAGAAACTCCTCTTGCGGCATTTTTGTCAGGCTCATTGCAACACATGGCAGTGCATTGTGGTACACTGCAATGCTAGTGCATTGAGAAGGTGTATTGAGGTGGCATTCATAGTTACATAGTATTTGAGGTTGAATAAAGACATTAGTCCATCAAGTCCAACCTATTAGGATCTCATTCTAGGAGTACCCAAATTCCTTTATTCACAATGGCCATAAAGTGTGTTACCACCTCACACTGGTGTAAATGGGTCCTAAAGGTTCATGACCTACTGATTATATCATGTATTCCTAAAAGTTACCTCCAGCTGTTGTATTCACATGTTGAAATAATGAAATATAACACTGTTTAAAAGACAGCTTGAATAAGTCAAAGAGATAAGTCACTCATTCTTGAGTTACACAAGTAAGAAGTCACTGCAGCCTCTGGTCAATACTAGATTTGAGTCCGTTAGCACATAGCTGGTGGGTTTTGTAACTTTCCACTTCTATTTCTCTCCATCTCCAGAGTAATTTCAATAACAATTCTCACCTATTACAGAATGTGATTTGTTTTATTACTATCTTGTTGTTTGGGCTTAAGTCGCCAGCCCAACCACAAACAGCACTACCAGGTTTTCTCACATTGTGCGGTCCCCAGCTGCCTTTTTGCAGGGTAAGAGGCCGCCACCAACAATCAGGCACCTGTGGCCTTCTTTATTGGTGCCAAAACCTGAATTGGTGTTCCTTATCTCAGGAAATACCAGAGCCTATGTGGACGATGAAGCCCAGAGTAAATCAATGTTTGTCACATAACCCCTACTTATGTACAGACCTATGCATATAGAAGAGATCATCGCCATTGGCCAGCCCATTGATACACAATGCATGTACAATTTTGTAAGGCTGTAAGAAGCGCTGGGTGACTGTAGCATTTCTTTCTTTGACCTGTGCATTCATGAGAAAAGTGGATGTTCCTTCCCATTAAATACTTGTTACCAAATACCTTAAAGACCCATACTAGAGGCATCAGTCTGTAAAATAAACTTTTTATCAAACTGGGGACTTTAAATATGGTCTATCTCAACATGGCTAGGTTCAACTCCTGAAATGTCTTCTCAGCACCAAAAGCAATGTAAAGCCAAACTTATTTTTGATTTTACTTATCTTTTGGGACTCATGAGTACATTTACTAATGTACTCCTGTGACCCAAAGTCAGCAGATAACAGGCTAATGCAGTGTCCCACGCTGGCTCTGAGCTGTGGAGAGAGAATATTTTAATCCCCCTGCACTTTAAGTTTGGTACTAGTGCAGTTACAGAAAATATTATTTATTTACCATAATGACTATTTGTTTTGTAAAAAATAAATGTATTTCACCTTTTTTTTAGTCAGTTTTATTGTGTGGTCATTGACTGCACAACCTCCCCTTTGGGGTCTCTTTTGTTTTATAGTGAGGGTTAGGGTGTCATTTTACTGGGTGGAAGGGCAGTTCTTAACTCCACATGAAACTATGTTTACAGTATTACAGCAAGGCACTTGTTGGGAGCTGCTGTCAATCACCAAGAAAAGGCGGGAGAGTGGCTGCTAAACAAACAGAAGTTACAGGCATGCCATGTGTTGGTATGGTATCCTGTAAATCCAAGCAGGAAAGACTGAGATGCAAATGATGTGCTTCTGTGCTTGGCATGGCCAAAATACAGCCTGGAGGGAGAAGGACTGGATCACCAGGTATTTCATAATAACACATGAACTGGCTAGATTTTCAAAGTTATACATGCATACAGAGACATATATAATCTGCCTTGAAATCTAACAAGGCCTGTACCTTTACCTGAAAGCACGGGCATGGTAGAATAAAAAGATGGTGCTACTAAATTTGCAGGCCCTGCAATAATTACGCAAATGTTTCTCAAATTAATATTAAACCAATAAAAATACACAATTGAATTGATAAAGCTCACAAAAATCAGTATGTGCACAAAAAAAAAATATTTTATGACTAAATCTCTAAAAGATAAAACTGTATTGAGTTAATAAATAACAAATATTTGCAAATTTTAAATTGCGCCTTTTTGCAAAAGGTAAAAAAATGAAGGAACACAAAACTGTAAATAAGCCACTTATGTTAAAAATCATTTTTCAGCTGTGTTGGTGTTTGTGCTGTGATAAAATGATACAGGCATATATTTAATTGCAACACAAGGTATCACAATGCATGGCAATATCACTAATATTTACAGATCCTCCGCTTGGCCACGCACACAGCTGCTGTCATCCTGAAACTGACAGGATGACAGCGGCTCCTCTCTCCTCCCCGAACGCCGCTCTCTCATTCCGCTCGATCATTGTGATCTGCCGGCCATTTGTATTCAGATCCCCGCTTCCTCAGCCCATACAAGTGGGGGAGAGCAAGCGGGGATCCGGGCCCACCCTTTCTCCCGGGCCCCATAGCGGCCGCGTCTTTACTTCCTTGATCTTGTTTTACGAGG